AAATGTCCCCTCAATGTTGAATTAGTGAACTCCTCTCCAGAGAACTGTGGTTTGTGTGTGTGAGAGAATGCCATGTAAAGGAAGAAAGGATTCTTTCCTGCATTTGCTTTAATAAACCCTGTAGCAGCGTTTGAGTATCGTTCTGCAAGAGTCAAGAAATTTACTGGCTGCTCTATGATGTCAGCATTTTCAAAAACTGGACAACCAGAGTAACCTCCATTACAAGGATTTTTCAGTGGAGAAATGCAAGCCTCATTCGGGTAGTAACAGATAGTACATGGCCCCATGTCATTTGAATATGGTATACCAAGATAATAGTCAAACCCATGGTTAGTGGGTAAATATGTTCCATTTTCTCCAACACCCAAGTGCCACTTTCCTACCATACCAGTCTTATATCCAGCAGTCTTAAGTGCTTCAGCTATTGTTGTCTCATTATGAGGTAGTCCTCCGATACTATTAGGAAATAAGACTCCTGGCCATATTCCTGTTCTTGGAGGATATCTTCCTGTCATGAGTGCAGCTCTTGAAGGACTGCAGACTGGATTAGCAGAATAAAACTGAGTCAAGACTAGTCCTTCACTTGCCATTGAATTGAGATTAGGTGTTGAAGAGGTTGGGTGACCATATATCTGGAGGTCTCCATATCCAAGATCATCAGCAAATAATATTATAATATTTGGCTTATTAACAGCAGCTCCATTGACTCTCAATGACACAAAGATACAAAGAACTACATAGAGTAAAGGTGACATGTTGGGTGGAGTTGTATATCTACTTTTATTCATAGCTATAGTGCTTGAGGTCAGTTGGTAATTTTGAGTCATGCACTAGCTGTTAAATCTACAGCTATGATAGTTAGAGAAACTAATGTATTAGTTTCCATTCAAGCATTATGCATTTACATAAACTTGCATAATCTATATAGCTTTATGCTTCATTATCTAATTAAATAAATTATATAAGTAATAGTGCATTTACACATTGCCTTTTTGCAGCAAATTAGCTTCAATTTAAACACGAGAGCTACTGTAAGAGGTCCATAGCGTACTTTCTTGTGAGCTGGTTTTGCAGCATGAAGGGAAGGGAGAGCACCCAGGACTTGCACATGGCATGAATTTTTCATTTGTTCCACGTTGTACTTGAGATTCTGAGTACTCAAAAGTTGATTCAAAGTTCTTACGAGCTGCATCAATGTTTGCCATGACGTCAGCATACCTAGTTGTATCTAGATTGTATATCTCACTTGGGTCTTGATGTAAGTCATAAAGAAGAGGTGGATCATGTGAACGTCTTGAATAATTACCACGACAAACAATATCTGGATATGTGTCAGGGCATAGACCTATGCCTCCACTGGTGTAGTAATGAGCTTTATATTGCTTCCATCTTATAGCATGATACCCAATATTGGGATCATAAATGGCAGGAAAATAGACATAGCTCTCTCTATTGCTTGGCTTTGAATCAAAAAGGATTGGAGACATGTCTATCCCATCAATAAAAGCTGATCCAGGTTTAGCTCCTGTAATGGACATGATAGTAGGAAAGAGGTCAACTGTTGCTGCCAATTCTGCTGTTTTTCCTTGACGAATTTTTCCAGGCCACCAAGCAATTGCTGGTTCCCTCATTCCACCATCCCATGTTGAGCCTTTCCCACAACGAAGGAGACCTGCATTTCCTCCTTGTTGTTGAACACGTAAAGAAGGACCATTGTCTGAAGCAAAGAAGACAAACGTATTATCATCAACTTGAGTATCTTTGAGTGTCGACATAATTAGACCTACTTCATTATCAAGCTCTGCCAGTGCATCACCAAAAGGTCCTCTCAGGGTAGTGTTTGTGTAGTCTTCATCAGAAAATTGTGGTTGATGTACGTGAGTAAAAGCCATGTAAAGGAAGAAAGGATTCTTTCCTGCATTTGCTCTAATGAAACCTAATGCTGCATTTGAATACTTTGTTGAAAGAGTCGGCAAGTGTGCTGGCTGTTCTATTATATCGGTATTTTCAAACACAGGACAACTGACGAAGGAAGGATTACAAGGTATTTTAAGTGGAGAGTTGCAAGGTGCATTTGGATAGTAACAGATAGTGCA